AATCTATCTATTTGATTATCTACATAGTAAGAGAAGCTATATTTTTTTCTTTTTCATACAACCTATGCATTCTAGACGGTTCAAGAAGAGAAACATCCACTTTTAGTTCTATCCAGTTCCAAAGTGCCTGAAATTGTGAAAAATAAGAATTGATTCATGTGTTACTCGTACAATTTTTTAATGTTATTTGTCTTTAAAAATAGTGGGGTGGAGATTGGTGGGGGGCATATGGAAAACAGTTTGTCCTTACAGATGTTTCTACAACTGTTTCTGGCTTTTGGTCACATTTTTCCCTCTTTTAAAAGTCGATCCAAATATCTGTTAAACTCAACCTCCTAAGCTTTCCAAAATTGTTTTCAGCTCATAGAAAAGGCTTTAACCTTCAACCTCTTTAGCTTTGGCCCCAGTATGTTTATGACTATTTTTAAATAGCCAAATTTTTGGTTGCTGTTGAAAGACATTTAGAAGATCATTTATAAGAGGAGAAACTTAAACTCTGGACCTTGACTCTGAACTTAAGAACACGTGGCTCTGCATTCTTGGGCAGTGTAGTTGTTTGGTCAGTAAGTAGTTAGAAATATCTGCCACTCAAAAGCAGGAATGAATGCAAAGGGAATACGGAAACTATTGACTCGGAATGCGAGAAAGCCTTCCCCCTCCAATGCCTCCTGCAGGATTTCTTAGTGTCCCTTAGGTATTTACTCTAGAAGGACAGAAGATACATCAATACCTAGGGAACAGATATCATATGTGCACTTTCATCATGAAATGCAAGGAACTCAAAGCTGATGGCCAAAACTATTCTTACCATTGTGATGAGTGCCAAGCTCCCTCCACCCTCCTGGCTCCCTTATATTTTTTCCAGCCCTGTACACCATCAACGCCATCAGGCCGGCTTCCCACGTGGAGCACTCTTGGAAGCCAGGGCAGCCTCTGGGCCTCCAGATGCTTCCACTTCCCCTTCATGGGCACTTCAACATTTTCAATGAGCAAAGGGAGCCAGGAAGCATTTTGAGAGCTAAACATAAGTGAGAGCACTCAGAGGCCTGGTTGCCTGTTCCTTGGGCAATAAAGCTGCTCTGGAAAAACCTTTCTGGCCTGTTTCAGTGGAAATTAAAATTAAAATAAATCAGAGGCAGCCTTAAAAGAAAATGGATAAAATTATGCTTTTAAGTGTAGGAATATCAATATAGACATACAATTAGATACATGTGTTCCACATTTTATGCATCAATAGTAAGCACACATATGATTGATCCCAATACAAATGGCCAAGCACTAATAGGAGAGCTTTATTTGGAACTTCTACAATTATGATAACTAGATATTTGACCAAAAAGCAGTAGGGCAGTGTAAAGGCACAGAAAAGAGCACGGAAAAAAAGGCACTGGGGTAAATCCTACCTCTTGACATCATTTTCAAAGCAGAGCCAGTAGTCTCTTGGTCATAGAAACAAGAAGTTTAAAAAATATCAAGCAATAATGCAAGATACATTCTAGGTTAACATGCAGATGGGAGCCACAAGCTGCCACTTCTGCTGGATTCAGAGCAGGACAAAGACACATACTCCGAGGCCACACATTCAGAGAGGCAGAAATTGAAGATGTTTGTGGGCAAAAATGGAGAGCCAAAGTCAACCCTCTAAACTTAAACAACAACAATTATCTGAAATAGCATGTGAAAACGTAAGACAAAACCTGAACAAAAAGAACTCCAGTGTATGGTCATTAAGGACCTGGAATAATTGAACACAAAAGGTGGGGAGGGCTTTGAGCCCTTCAGAAACTTAGAAAAGCCCCCCAAATGCTCTTTAACCATTCACAGATGAACTGTACTCCAAATACTGTTTTCTAATTACCAAACTAAAATGGGCGAAGTTGAAAATCCTCTGTGATCATTCATTCAGTCAATTAATGTTTACTCGGTGCCAACTGTGGATTTGGCACTGGATAAGTAATGACGAAAAAGACCAGCATGAATGTTGTCACCATGGGGCTCACAGTCTGGCCTACCTGTTCTAGATGGCACCACACACCACCGGCATTTGCTTACGGTGAATCAACAGAACAGAGAAAAAAACTTAAAAGTTTACAGTCACATAGACCCATCTCCAAAGAATACCACAGCCTGTCAGTTGTATTTTAAATTCAAGGTTTGAGGCACCATTTTGGAATATAGAGATCACCTTCCCATGGAAGCAATGCCATCAATCATGTTTGGGTTCTCAGGTCAATCTGTGAGGCTGGAGAGGTCCTGTATACAGCCACGGTGTGATTTTAAGAGGTTTCTGGTTTGTGTTACCCAAGGCCCTTTGATGGCATTAAACTGTAGTTTATAATCACGAATTGAAACGATCAATGCTTAAGACCCAAGTGTGCAATGCTGGAAATGGGTAAGAAGATGTAATTGCCTGTGGGTGGGCTGGCAGCCCTCCTCTGCTTCGATCTGCCTCCAGGACAGGGAACACAAATGGGGACAGAATCTCCCAGAAGGTGCTTATGAGGGCAAGAATTACACTTGGAGTAACTCATTTGCACTTCAGCCATTGGTTCTGGCCAAGGCTATGCACATTTCATACCTGGTTACTCAGAAATCACAACTGACATCTTTCTTAGTTATTTCAGGAAATATAATAGTGTTTTTACATTTTCTTCCCTTTTTCAGACGTGTTTTTCCAGCAGTAATCACAGCCCTAATAACATTTACAGTACATTAACTTACATGAATTTTTAAACACCACCCTTTAAGCAGTTTCATGTGCCCTCATTGAGTGAGCCTCATCTACTAGAGTCCCCAAAAACATCAACTCAGCATCTGACTAGTAAACCAACAACCTCAGAACAGGATCGTTTTGTTCAAACCATAGCAGAGAGGCATGCAGCTAAAAATAGAAAAAGTAGCTATTCTAAATAACAAAGTGAGTCTCTTAGACAAATTTTTTTAAATGATTTAATTTATATTTAGAATTAAGAGAGTGAAGCATACTGCCTGAAGGAAGTCATTTACTGGCTCTCTGACAAGGTTAAGTAAAATTTTTCTTACAATTCATTAAGAATACCCTTAGGTTACATGTGAAAAATGTAGGTGCCTTAGCAGTGATCACCCCAAATTATCCAAATAAAATACTGTTGCAGTCTCAGTGCCAAAGTCTCTGAAAACAGTATTCCCTGAATCCAATTCTCCTCCACTGAGCTACAGGGAATATGCTAACTTCCAGAGATCGTTCTATCAGTCATTTTCCTAATACAAAGTTGGGGTGGAAAGAGATTCTCAAAGCTGCCGCTGAGCTCCCTGGATGTGGACTGTCCTCTCCCTGAAGGGCCTGTGAGACAGAAGGATCTCAAACTGAACTCTCAATGTAAGAAAGGGAGAGAGCTAGAAGCTAGCTACCTCTGGCAAAAATCTATGCCTGGGACCATCCACTCCAAGTGCTTCTAAAGCAAGGAAGCCCCTGGTCAGAATGAGGACAGCAAAATGTCACAGTAGGTGGCTGACATGCAGAGAGCACAAGCCTCGTCCAGACCTGGGTGCCAGCTGACAGGCGGATCCACGAAGTTGTACGGGACAATGGGTAAGTTTGGTTTGCAATGCCTCTCCCATGTCTTGTCACACTCGGAAAGACAGCAAGTAGCCCATGTTTATCCCATGGAACAGTGATTCTCCATGACTACTTGAGCAACACCAGCATCAGCATCCCTTGCAAACTTCTAGACATGCCCATTTTTAGGCCCACTGCAGACCTATTAAATCAGAAACCCTCAGGGTGGCCCAGAAATCTGTTTTCGCAAGCCCTCCAGGAGTTTCTGATGCAAAGTCCAGTTTGTGAACCACCACCGTAGGATTAATTAAAATCACTGTAGTATATAGTCCCTCTCCCGAGACTCAGTTATAATTGGAGAATGAGAGATCTTTCTACCTCCAAAGGAAATGTCAAGGGTCAGCAGGCCAAAGGGGAGTCAGGTAGAGGTCTCAGGGATTTGAGCCACAGCTTACCACTACTTCCCTCATTCATCTTGGGTTTGGGAATCTTGGTAACAGGCACCAACAAAGAGAGAGGAGGAAACACCAGGGACAGATCTGATCCACTCCAGAGCTCAGCGTACGCTGGGCGACTTCTCTTCCAAGTAAACAAGCCACATTAACAGTAGTTGTAATAAACCATACAGATCAAGGAAACCCACCAGACTTTCTCTCCAATGCAGCTAAGACACCACAGAACCTTCTTCACAGCTTTCCCAAGGTAGTGGCTATTCATAAGAGACCACACAAAATTCAACAATAACATATTAGTCAATATAACTTTAAACTTCTCAGAAAATGCTCTTAAACCACTAAAACTCTTGACTATAACAAGAACATTTAAACAAGTTTTCCCCTTAAAATTAGTTTTCACTGCTCTAAAAGAGACCAGTGATCTATTCTTGGGCGACATAATCCCTAATTTTTAATCAAGCATTCAGAATTTTTCTACCTTAAAAGAAAAGTCACTCATTCATAAAGCCTTGATGCACCACCAATGGCTGTTGTTTTGCTTCCCAACGCCATTCAAAGTTCAAAAGATGAGAATCTGAAAAAGCAGTAACAGCACCAAAAGCACACTACAGAAGATCTAGGAGTCAAAATGAACAGCAGAAAGAACCTTTCTGCACAAAATATTTGCATCCATCACTAGCCTACTGCCTTGGAGCCTCGCCTACCTTTCTGAAACAAAAGGGAAACTTGGGTACTATTTGCCTGCGTCATCATGAGTCCCTTGATACTCAAGAAACCAGTTCTTTGTCTTCTGGGACAACTGTCCTCATTGGAAAGGGGGTAGTGCTGAGTAATCAACATTATTTTTCTTTGTCTTGGTTTGTAGTATCATATCCTTGTTGCTATTTTTCAGCCTTAAAACCTAGTGATTGTAAATCAAGCTGCTTCCTTCTTTAGTGGTAATTAGCATTAGTCATAAGCCAAAAATGATTTCACATAAGCAGTAAAATAAACACAACCCTCCTTACCTTTCATGCCAAACTTGGAGTGTCTTGCCAACTTCAGCAGAAACAGCATTACCAGCAAACAAAATCCCACTACGGATGCAATCACCACCACAGCATAGACCTAGAGAAAGGGAGGGAGAGCAGTTATGGCCTTGCTAACTAGTTCCCTCTACCCAGAAGATGAAGGTGATGCCAGTTAATATTTATGGAATGCTTACTACAACTTGCTCTTCTAAGAACTGTATGTACATCAATTCACTTAATCCTCAACAACCTTACAATGAAGAATGTAGGTCCTATTATTATTCCTACTTTACAAGTGAAAAAAAAAACATAAGTTAAGGCTAAAAAATGGCTACCTAATTAATATTATATAAAGATATAGGTATATGTAATTGATATATGCATAGATACATGTAACATATCTGTGTTGAGTTATACATGTAGATATTGAATATATCTCTATCTCTTCCTATCTGTCTACCTACCTACCTACCTGGAGAAAAGAAGAAGAAAAACATGAATGAAAAATATTGATAATTTTTGAAGTTGGTGAAAGATATAATGGGATTCATCTTACTGTTCTTGTTACTGTGGTACATGTTTGAAAAATGTTCATAACAAAAATATTTTTTTAGGTTGCCTATTGTTGCTCTGAGAAGTCAGGGTCCCCTGGAGCAATGAGTAGGCCCATAAGGGAGCAAGAGGGCACTTGTGGGTGACTTCACTTGTGAAAGATCATTGGGTTATACTTGTATGACATGTGCTCTTCTCTATATTTATGATAGAGGTCAATACAAAGCTTTTTTTTAATTTAAAAATGTAATTACAAGATGTGGATTATGCAAGTAGAGAGAGTAAAGGCAGATCTCTCTCTGTGCACCCTGTCACAGCCCTGAGCTGGGGACTGCAGAGGCACCAGCACATAATGCTAATGAAACACACACTAACATTTTAGAAACAAAGGTGAATGCAGGACTGTCTATCTCCTGGCATTCCCACCACTCAGCTCAGGGCCCTGCTTCCAAGAGAAGTTTGATTCTCTAAACTGGGAGCTGGCTAACATTTGCTGAAAAGGGAGATGATTTCATTGCTATAGCAGGATCTCAGTCTAAGCCAGTGGTCCTCAAACAGAGAAAATATGGCAGACACTTTGCAATTTGGAATTGTTACAACTAAGGGAAAGGTACTGCTAGCACCTAGTGGGTTGAGGCCAGGGATGCTGCTAAACATCCTAAAGTTCCTAGGGCATCCCTCTCATGACAACGAAGATTTAGTCATCGACAATAACAAATGTCATTAGTGCCAAAGCTGAGAAGGACTGCTCTGGTGCTCTCTTCATCTCTACCATATTATGCTTTCTTTCAAAAGGTGGCTGCTTATTAGCTAGTCTCGCAATAAGGACAAGGCTGATAGAACCCCCTGCTAATACATGTAATGAAGCAAGAAATAAACCTTTGTTGTTTTAAGCCACTACAATTTGGGGATTTTTATTACTGCAGCATAGCTTATCCTGACTGATATACCTATCTCACAGTGAGGGCAGTATAAATAAAGATTAAGAATATGGGTTCTTGCCCTGGCTGGTGTGGCTTAGTTGGTTGGAGTGTCATCTCATAAACCAAAAAGTCACAGGTTTGGTTCCAGGTCAGCACACATGCCTAGGTTGTAGGTTTGGTCCCTGGTTGGGGTACATATGGGAGGCAACTGATCAGTGTTTCTCTCACATCAATGTTTTCCTCTCTCACTTTTCTCTCTCTCTGGAATCAATGGACATATCCTTGGGTGAGGATTTAAAAATATATATATATATATAAAATATTTATATATATATAAATATAAAATATATATATATTTAAAGATTTTATTTATTTATTTTTAGAGAGGGAAGGGAGAGAGAAAGAGAGAGAGAGAAATATCAATCTGTGGTTGCTGGGGGCCATGGCCTGCAGCCCAGGCATGTGCCCTGACTGGGAATCAAACCTGCGACACTTTGGTTCACAGCCCACACACAATCCACTGAGCTATGCCAGCCAGGGCTATATATATATTTTTCTCCTTCCTGAGCTCGAAATTTAGATTTACCATTTATTAGTTATATGGCTTCAAAATTACTTTAACCTCTCAGCATCTCATGATCTTCATGTGTAAAGAAGGAAATATAATAATTCTACCTTGCAGGTTGTAAATTCTCAATGACTTAACACAGATAATAGGCTCGGAACAGCATCTATCTACAATAGATAATAAATTAATGTAAACTATCATTAATAATCATAACAATGATAAAACAGATTAAGAAAACATTTAATAAGCAGCCCAATATCATACCTTTGAAGCTTGGCACTTGAACCAAAATCTGCCCAAGTATAAATCCTGCAATTTATGCATTATACTTCCTCTCCAAAGCATGTGGCTGAGAGTGAAGCCAGGATAATAAAAGCACGTGGCTAATCCTCCCACAACACCTTCTCTGATGTCAGATGGAAACAGCATTAAATAAGTCACAAAACACAGGAAAAAAAAGCACATGCCAGCACTTGGCCAAAGTGGAGCAAAAGTGTAATAATTCTCTTCTCTGGGATTTCAGCTGGGCGTGGCTCCCCCACAGAAAGCTTTTGCAAATGTCTGAGTGTACACTAAACTCTCTTCACAGTCTATAAACAAACAAAATGGTCATGATTCCTAAAAAGCTAGCTGTGGATCAACTTGTTCTAACCGAGATCATTTCCCTTAAATCTGTCTAATAATTTGGGGTGATTTTTAAAAAACTTTTATCCTAACATTTTCATGGGAAAGAGATCATTGTTTTTTAAAAAAAAATTATCCTCACTTGAGGACTTGCTTATTGATCTTAGAGAGAAAGGAAGAGAGTGAGAGAGAGAAACATTGATATGAGAGAGAAACATCTATCTGGCTGCCTCTCACATGCGCCCTGACCAGGGACAGAACCCACAACCTAGGTATGTGCCCTGACCAGGAATCAAACTGTGACTCTGGTTTATGGGATGACACTTCAACCAACTCAGCCACATTGGCCAGGGTGAGATCAGTATTTTAGCTCTAAGTGCTCTACTCTATTATTAGATTCCAGACTTCTGCAGGTAGATGAAGAATACCTAAAGATACAAACTTAAACTCTATTTTACAGATAAGAAACCTAGGATGGAGAAACGATGGAACACCTGGCCTGAGCTCCAGGACCTCCCTGTAGTCCCACGGTAGCCTCTTGGCTCTTCGGAAAGCACACGGCTGATATCCAGGAGATCTGAGGCCTTCTGCTCACAGGACACCTGACCAGCTGTGAGAACTAGAACAGAGCCTTCGCTTCTCCATGCCCCCATTTCCTCACTTATACTTGGGAATAAGAATACCTGTCCTGCCTTTTCTACATGGCTAATGAATGCTTCATTCAATCTGGAAAATGAGAAGGGGTTCTGCTGCTGAAAAGCAGTTAATGGTCTGCCAACAAGTATTTAAACCTACTGAAGCAGTTGTAAATGTAAAGAATCCTTTAGTAAACAAAGATTCTTGTGGTCATGAGAATAAAAATCTCCTCAAAAATGGCTCCATAAAAAGCAGTTTCATGTACTATGAATGTGTTGTGGTGAGAATGTTCTATGTAGGGGGATGAACTGGGGTGAGATATGCCAGTTAGGAACTTAAATTAACGTTTGGATTCAAATGAGAAAACTGAAGTTGACATAATTATTAGTAACTGGGATACCTACACACCTGTGGGCTTAACACGTGCTCTTGAATGCCTATGGACACAAACAACTTTCTTAAACCAAAATATATTAAGTGGTTCAGTATGAGAAGAAAAACAGAAATAATTGCACAAGGCAGGAATTGAAAGCATTCCACATTTGACTTACCACAGCATTTGTCCTGCTATTTCACTGTAAAGCATATTTCAATGTAAAGCGTATAGTCATCTATGGAAATATGTGTGTGTCTCTCTATACAGGACGTGCATATTGTAAGCCTCCCATTGTCACTGCCATAGCCCTGGTTTAAATACATACCACATCTTTTTATTACTGTACCAGACCCCTAACTCATCACCCCACTTCCAATCTCTCTGTCTGCCAACCCAGTCTATAGAATTCACCATGAATCTAATCAGCCTGATTTTTATTGAGGACCTCCTAGGTGCCAGTCATTATTCTAGCAGCTAGGGATGCAGCTGTGAAAAACCCTGACCAAAAATCGAGGGAAAGGAAAAAGACATTAAACAAGTAAACAAATAAACAAGCAAGGTCATTACAGACATTGATAACGACTCAAAAGAAAAAAGAACGGGGTAATGGCTGCCTGCTGACACCCTTGATAAGTCATGTGATGATGACCTTCAGGAAATGCATGCTTTATAAAGACAACTGCAAATGTTAGGCTCTGAGATGAGACTGAGCCCAGAGCATGCAAGAGAGTGTTTTAAAAAGACAGCTGGTAAGCAGTGAAGAGATATGGGAGATGATGTCAAAGACAGGGGCCGGCAAGATATGTCAGACCTTGTTGGCCACCGTGAGGATTTGGGCTTTTATAATAAAAGTTTTATTACGATGCATTGAGAAGATTCTGAGAATGAAAATGAGTGATCTGGTTTGTGTTTTTAAAAGGTTACTCAGGCTGCTGTGTGGAGACAGGAAGATGACAAGGGTGCGAGAGGCGGGCAGGGTAGAAGGGGGACAGGGTCACCCAGGAACAAGCAGTGAGGCAAACTCTCTCTGTAAAGGGCCAGACTGCTAATGTTTCTGGCTTTGCAGGCCACACTGTCTTTGCTGCAGCTGCTCCACCTGCCATCGTGGCACCAAAGGAGCCACAGACAATATGTAAATAGACATGACTATATTCTGATCAAACTTTATTGATGAACGGACATTTCAATTTCATAAAATTTTCATGTGTCATAAATCATTTTTCTTTTGATCTTTTTTCAAACCACTTAAAAATGTAAAAACTATTCTTAGCCTTCAGACCTCACAGAAACAGGTCGTGAGCCAGAGCTTGGCTGACAGGCCTTAGTTTGCCAACCCTCGAGTTAGCCTGTGGCCATGGCAGTGCAGGTGGGGACATATGGATGGGTTCGGAGTTTATAAGGAAGCAGAGCTCACAGGATGGGCAACTGGGAGCACACTACAAGTGAAGGACAGGGAAAAATGGAGGAATCGTGCTGGGTTTTCACCTGAGCAGCTGAGAGATCACCCTGCCACAGAACCCGGGAGCCCTGTGACCCTGGGGCTCTCATAGGCCCCTTCAGTGTCTCCTCACTGCGCAGTGCATCTAACCACCTGGCCCTGTGTTTCAAAACCTCACAACCTGGCACAACCAACTTCTCCAGCCTTGCCTCCGAATGCTGCCCTTTGCATGCCTTACCTTCCATCAAGACTGTTTTCCAGTCTGCAGGCTCTTGTTCACACACCTCAAATCCCTTCCCTTCTGTTCCTCTTTGTCCAAATCCCAGGCATGCTGCACAGGCCACAGAAAATGCCACCTGTCCCACAAAGACTCTTCTGGCCCTCCCAGCAGGAAGGAACAGAGTGCCTGCCCCTCTGTTTCCATTTCTCAAACCACACACCACTGCTCTATTTGTATGATGTGCTAGTGTTCACATCTCCAACCACTGACTGAACTTCAAGCTCCAAAAAGAATGGACTTCAGTTTCCTTCATATTGTTTATATTCTCCCACATTATATCCTTACATGTGGTGGGCGCTAACACTTTTATTAAAATGTTTAAGCAGACAGGTGTGAAGGTGTGGGAGACAAGAGTAATTAATTATACATGTGCCTGTACAAGAAAGCTGCTTTCTTGCTCTTCTGGTGATAACCTTTTATAGCACAGATATTTATAACAGGAACTGCTAGCATTAAGTCAGAGGCTACCTTTATCACTTCTCTTAAACCTTTCCATTAATTCCTCCAAACTGCAATGCCCTGCTTCCATCTGAGCAATAAAAATGTCCTGTTGAAAGACTTCCCCTGAAGCAGCTCCAAAGGTCTTCTTTCAGTTGTTTATTTAACTTTAGAAAAATATTTTGAAAAAAAATACAAAATAAAGATAATATAATAGCTACCTCCAACATGCAAGCATCCAAAATGCTGAGAACCAACCTAGGAAACAACTCTCTATCTCACTCACCGAGAGATGCTCCCGACGAGTTTTGTTAGTAGAATTTGTGGAAAGAATTTCATTACTTCTGTTTGTGGTGTCCTCGATATTATTTGTTGTAGTCCCATAATCTTAAATTGGAGAAAAGGAAAAGAGAAGGAACCATGAAGTTGTCATTAGGTTGTCGACAAACACAAGGCCATAGTACGACCCAAAACAAAGCCAGACAAATCACAAGATTCCAAACCGCTGACAGCCCAGCTAGGGAAGAAGAACAGGACCCGGCTGTTGGGCTAAATCCCTTGCGGCACTGGGACTGTGCAGTGCCAACATTGCACAATACTCAACCCAGATCTCTACCTCCTTGTCTTGTTTTGTGGTCAAATTCTAAACCTGGTTTAGGATTTTTCTCTGCACAGAATAATACGTCCCCTTTCTGATAAAGTATTTAATATAAATACAAAAGAGAATAGATCATCTAAGAGTCACAAATTTATAGATCAATTCTGTACGTGTTCTGTATAAATGTATAAATGTTTTGTATTTTCACTCTAAATAGAAATGGTGTCTATAATATGTATCCTGAACAAACAACCTCATTAAGTCAGTCCCAGCTAAACTTCTCTGGATAGATTTTTCACACAAGCCTTGGGGTAACCAATTTAAATTATATTTTTATTAGCAGAGAGTCTCTTTGAAATTGGATGAAAGTAACAGAAAAAGCATCTATTTTCTGTTTGCTGTTTTGTTACTGACTGTAAAACTACATTCTCACCATTTCCATTGTTAATATATTAAAACTTAATTTCAAACACTATGAGATATCATTTACTTGCTTATTTTCCCCTCTTCATATCCTATCCAGCCACTTATGCAAAATTAAATCATTAAACTATCTGTAGATTAATATAATGACATTTCAACCCAGAGACCCAAAGTGACATCTGAGGCCAATGGAAAGATAACACTAAGTCTTGAAATTACTGGAAAGGAGTCCAAATCATAATTTTAGAATGTTAAATCACAATTCAAACATATTTCTTTGTGATGCAATTTGAGATACTCTTCCTTTAAACCATATCAATACAAATAAAAACAAAAACACACAAATCACATGCACAAAATCATCCAAACCATAGCATGAAGGAATTATAGCTTAACATGTATAAATCAGGTAAAGACAATATAATTCCCCAGTTAAAATTAGCTCAAGTTAAATGCACATATAATAAGCATATAAACACAGAATCATTTACAAAAGATTCAGTGTGTATATTAAAATTGAAGAATAAAATATTTCATAAAATAAATACATAAATATAATATTTTAACTACTCTAACTTTTAATCAATCTTCAACTTTAAGCTAAGTCTTGAAAGTTAACCTTCTACTTCCCCAACAGAGGCCTCCTGGTCATGAAGGTGACTTGAAAATCTGCTAAAGGTGGATTTTTACAACTAGAAAAACTCCCTGACATTTGATTAAAATATCAAAGTACAGATGAGATGTTCAGTTAAAAGTTAATATAGTGGACCTTTTGGTTTCCTCCTTCCTTCCACATTCCTAAAACAGCCCCATTTTACTCAAGGGGTTCAAGCACATTCTCCAAGGAAGCTGGTCTGTTAGTCAAGGGTTAATCCATCCCGTTTATCAGTAACGGAGGCAAGATGGACCATGGCCCAACTGAGTTTTGAATCAGACACAAGGAGGGCCAGATGGAGGTTTCTGGAAACATTATCTTTCTTCTGGAGTCTTTTCAGAAACTCTCCCCTTTCTCCCATTGATGTGAATGACCGTAGCCCCTCTGTTGGCTGCATTCGATAACCCATAAGGGGGGCCGGTCATCAGTGAAATCAGAACAATGGGCAGAGGAGGGTAGAAATGAATAAAAGCTGGGCCCCAATAACATGATTGAGCTGTTGGTTTAACCCACCCTAAATTTCCCTACTTCTGAGGTCCTGTCTGTGGGCCAAACTTCCTTATTATATAAGAAACATAATTTTGAATTGGGTTTACTGTCATAACTAGAAACTGATACACCACCCTTTTCTTGGTAGCCATGGCTTTTAAACAGGTAATTAGTTCCCAATTATGGAAACAAATTGTCTGTTACAGCAGAATGGATTTACTACTTCCAAGAACAGAGCATGAGAGAGAAAATGCTATTTACAGGCACTGTAAATATCAAGGGAAAAAGGCCATCAATATTGAATGATTTTTTCTGAAATGTTATTTTAGCCTATGTAATGATTGAAAGGTATATTTAACTGAGCTTAAAGGTCTTCTTTTAGTTGATTTATTTCATGCTAGACAATTTTTTGAAGAATACAAAAGAAAGACATGATAGCTACCTTCATACATAGCATCAGGATAGTTTGGGTCTGCACCTAAAAAAGCAAAACAAAGCAAAGATTTGTAAGTGTGCATACAGAGTTTAAAAAGTACTACTTTATACCCACTAAAATGAAGTAAATATATGTTGAAGATTTTATGACTGAATAGATCATTCTATAGAACAGGTAAATAAAACCTGAAATTCCCAGTTTGCTTCATGTTAACTCTGTTCCCCTCCCCTGTCCCACAACCTCCATCCCTCTAAAAAAGAAAAAAAAAAGAAAGAAAGAAAACTCACAAACCACTTTAGCTGGCAAAACTTCAGTGATCAATGAATCATGACCTTTTATTTTTGCTGTTTCTGTTACTCAGTTAGCTATTTTCATAGCAATTTTGGTATTTTCATCCCAGAGACAGATCGTTTCTGTACCACTCTTAATATTCTCTGATGTTTTGGGGGTAACTTTCAAACTATGTTTTGGCAGGTTCATTTGCATTCATGAACACATTATTACCCGGGCTGTGTAATGATATCTAAAACACAATTTTGCTTTCTGCTTGGTCTTCAGGGAGGTTGCAAAGGCTGAATAAACCATTTTTTCTTTTTTTTTTTTTTTGCCCTGACACAAGAAAAAAATAAATGTACTTTCTCTACTGAAATTATTTATGTATAAGAGATTATAAATTAAAATGACAAATAGAAATCCAAAGTATACCCACTTAATTTTTTGGATGACTCTGTATTCACCAAGATGATCAGACTATTCTGTTTAAAATAATCCCATGAGAATTTGCAAAACATTTTTAAATCTTTTTATTTTTTTGAGATTTTATTGATTTGTTTTTACTTTTTTATTTTTTTAAGTATTTATTTATTTTTAGAGAGGGATGGCAGGGAGATAAAGAGAGAGAGAGAAACATCAATGTGCAGTTGCTGGGGGTCATGGCCTGCAACCCAGGCATGTACCCTGACTGGGAATCGAACCTGCGACACTTTGGTTCACAGCCCGCGCTCAATCCACTAAACTACGCCAGCCAGGGCTTATTGATTTATTTTTAGAGAGTGGGGAAGAGAGGGAGAAAGAGAGAGAGAGAAACATCAATGTGTGGTTGCCTCTTGTGCACCCCCACTAAGGACCCAGCCTGCACCCCAAACATTTGTCCTGACTGGGAATCAAACCAGTGAACCTTCGGTTCGCAGGCCAGCACGCTATCCACTGAGCCACACCAGCCAAAGCACATTTTTAAATCTTTTTAAAAGTCACTGTCAACAAGAACTGGTGACAAAAAATATTTCCTACTTATTCTCCATTCAGAACTAACTGGGTCTCTATATGAAAGCCTACTTAGAAATAAAATTAAATTTTGATATAACATTTAAGTGATTACAAAATGAATTTCCAAAGCTACTTCCCATGCTTTTAGTCTTCACTTATCACATGAAAAAGTAAAACTTGTAAACCATAAATCTCACTCAGCTCTCATTACACTTTTGAACCTTTAGCAGAAAAAAATATTATTTTAAAATAAGGTGAAACCAGCCAATTTTCTGCTCACGTATTCCCTAGTGAATAATTAAGGTTGACCTGAATGAAGAACCAAATAAAAGTGGCCCCAATGTTTAAATTAAAATTCTAACACAGCGCAACAGGAAGAACATCTACTTTAGCAGGAGAAAAATCAAGCAGGTGATGGTGCACTTTGACATAGCTCTTGGGAGCGCCTGTCAGACCGCTGTCCATGTGAAAGGTGCCATCTGCAATTGTGCAGGGCACACCTGGGCAGCATGTGAAGTGGCCCTGCATCGATTCATGCAAAATCATCGATTCCAGATAAATTTCTACTGAATTTTGATTTTATTATCCCAAATGCCATTTCTACATTTCAAGCTGCAATGTGTAAATATGTATTGTCAGAATTATTTGTAACTGCTGTGACATTCCAGAGGAGGGCCCTGAAGACTGCCCTGGAGTTTGAGAGGTAGTTCAGTGGATAAAGTAGCAGGAAATCCCAGTGGCAGCCCTGGTAACATCTTTTGCTGGGCAGCCATCCACATGCTGATGTCCTTCCCCTTTGCAAAGTTCCTGGACCAAATGGTGTCCCCTCACTGTGAGGATTTCTTACCCCTGCTGAAGGAAAAGTCCTATAACCCCCAAGTCAGGAAGTCATTCTTTGAACTTCTCGGTAAGCCTATTACTTTAAAGAATCCCATTCCGGTCCCTTTCCCCATTGTACCCTCAAATGTACAGTCTGAATGTACAAGGCCTGCCCACCAGAGTCCACTCTTCACTGCTAGACCTCACTCCAGGTGCCCAGGACCCAGAATTTCCTCCCCACAGGCCCCAAATATATGTAATAGGGTTGGCCAGACTTTCCCCTACATCTGTCATCCCACTGGTGGCCCCCTACCAGTATGAGCACCCTGTGACCCAAGACAAAAGGGAGGGAGGGGTGAGGGTTGAGCCAGGAGAGATAGGCTTGGGTGTCCACATGCTCACTCACTGCCTCTCACACATGTCTGACTGAGTAGTTCACGGAGCAGGGGCCATGGATGAGGACCATCTCTACCAAAATCACTATGAGGAGTGATACTCCCAAAATGGAATTATCTTCTGGAGGATGGGCCCCTTGAAGTACAGGCTTCCCCTGCTGGGTGAGTGTTCTAGGAACCCATCTGTGTCAGTGTACCAACTGGTGGTGTTGTGAGAGGCTGTGTTCAGCTTCAGTGAATTTTTTTAAAATTCTTTCAACATGCTTGCCTATACTGTGCTGAGTGTTCAGCAGTTTTCGACCAAAAACAGCCCCACCCTCCCTATTCACCCAATCTCACTCTGAGTGACTATTTTTGTTTGTTTGTTTCCCTGGATGAAAAAAGTCCTCAAAGGGAAATGTTTTGCTGATGTGGAAAATGTGAAACAAAAAATAGCAGAAGCACTAAAAGGCATCAAAATCAATGAGTTTAAAAACCATTTTGAAAAGGCAGAAAACTATACTTGAACAACAATAAATTTTTTTAAGTTAAAAAAAGAATAAAATAAAAATAAAAACTGTTTTGAGCAATGGAAAAATCATCTCAATAGCTGTACTGCACCAAATGGAGAGTACTTTGAAGGTGACTAAGGTTTAAACATATAAGAATAAATACACAATTTTGTGGGTCCTCCCTTGTATGTTCCAGCATGGAACTCCAAGAGTCTGTCAATCCAAACTTCAAACCTAGCCTTCTGGGTCATTATAAAAATATATTTGGAAGAGAATATCATCTATTTTATTTAACAGTACCTTAATTTGATTTATATTTTTTAAGTGTTTAGATATAAGTGTGAGGACCTTCTTTTGTACAAGGGTGGCCCACCATCCCAGACTGCCAGAGACCAAGGGGACTTCTGAGACAGTGGACTTAAAATTTTAAAACTGGGATAGTCCCAAGCAAATCCTTGCAGTTGTCAGAAATAAGGCTTCCTCTGTGCAGACTGGTAATGCTAAAACTGGGACTAGTCAGTCACCCTGATTTGTGCCCAGACCCTCAGAGACCCCATACCCATCACCACCCACTTTTACAGATAAAATTCCCTAAGAAAGTAAAAAAAAACATCGTGAGGATGCGGAGCCAGGTTTATCTAAGCCACACAGTGACAAAGCCTCAGTGAAAATGACTGACAGGTGCCATCCACATCCACACAGAAAGGGAACACCCAACACGTTCCTCACACAAAACTGCCAGGAAAATCCAAAACATCAAATCAATTTGTCAGGTATCAAAAAGTGGGATTTGGGGGTAGGATCTAAAATACACAGATTAGCCCATAATCTGTAACACAGGTTATCTTCCAGACTTCTGATGCCTATCAGTGCATGCTTTTCCTACCAACTTCACCGGCAAAGCCATCCAGTCACATCTAAAATTTCTGAAAAGCACTACATTTTCCTAACTTCAGTTTCCCAGCTGTATGAGATGTATTGTCACTTTACTTTCGCTGTCAGGAATAGCCAAATTTAGCACCAGGTTATAAAACTCACAGAAAGACAATGTGGGAGGAACAATGATGGGGTTTTTTTCCTCCTCCCTAGCATACTGTACTATGTCTGATGAGGGCCCACTCGTTACAATAAAGAAATGCCTCCTCATGTGCAAAGGTGTGGGAAGCCCAGCACAGTGAGGGAGCAGAGACCTAGAGTTTATGAAAAACAAAGGTCATGTTACTCCCGCCGGCCCCAGCTCATCAACATAGTATTTTGCTTCTAGCAACGTCTCAGTGAAGTGAACCTTCCATGATGTTTACATTGCCATAGCGAGGCAGTTATTAACATCATTTTAAATGCAGACACAGGGACAAATATCACCACTTTCCTCCTGATTCCTGGTAATGGTCGAATTTTTAAAATATCCTGCCATTATTAAGTATAATTTATCATTGGTATCTTTTACTTAGTTTAATTACGACAGTCATGTAACATTGTTATATGCTACCAGTAGAAACCCCTGTTGTTGATATTCAGGACTCAAAGGTGACTGAGGAAGGACAAAGACTATCTCTGAGGAAGAAAAAGCCAACAGAAAGAGGATGAATGAAAGATAAATGAGTAGCATCCAGCCTGAGTAATGCACTTGTCCTGGAGATTTGAGAAGGGTTATGCTTCCTTGAAACCTATCCCAGTAGCTCTCATTGGGTAAGAAATCTCAAACATAGGCAACAGGAGGGGACACCAAGCCCAAAAGCTGCACGGCAGGAATCTCTGGAAAGGAATATGGGAAGCTGGGAAGTCCAGACACCCCACTGGCATTCCAAACAAGCCACATTCTCACTCCACAGTGCACTCAAGGGCCAAAGCTACAGCCATTTGCCAACCTAAAGAAGATGAGCTCAGAGCAGGAATATCTGCTTATCTGATGTCCCAGTTCTATTTTCTGAAGAGTTGAGCATCTCCAGGTGCTACACTCACTTGCACATAGGTTCCTGACCTAAGGCATGGTGTCTGTGGCTACAGGAAGAAGACTAACGGGTCCAGAGCTCAGCCTGCAGCACTCCCTTGAAAGGAATAATGGAGACTG